TAGAGGGAGTATGGGAGGGTAGAGGGACTATGGGAGCTGGTGAGAGAGTAGAGGGACTATGGGAGCTGGTGAGAGAGTAGAGGGGACTATGGGAGCTGGTGAGAGAGTAGAGGGACTATGGGAGGGTAGAGGGACTATGGGAGCTGGTGAGAGAGTAGAGGGACTATGGGAGCTGGTGAGAGAGTAGAAGGACTATGGGAGCTGGTGAGAGAGTAGAGGGACTATGGGAGAGTAGAGGGACTATGGGAGCTGGTGAGAGAGTAGAGGGACTATGGGAGATTAGAGGGACTATGGGAGAGTAGAGGGACTATGGGAGCTGGTGAGAGAGTAGAGGGACTATGGGAGAGTAGAGGGACTATGGGAGAGTAGAGGGACTATGGGAGCTGGTGAGAGAGTAGAGGGACTATGGGAGCTGGTGAGAGAGTAGAGGGACTATGGGAGGGTAGAGGGACTATGGGAGCTGGTGAGAGAGTAGAGGGACTATGGGAGAGTAGAGGGACTATGGGAGAGTAGAGGGACTATGGGAGCTGGTGAGAGAGTAGAGGGACTATGGGAGCTGGTGAGAGAGTAGAGGGACTATGGGAGAGTAGAGGGACTATGGGAGCTGGTGAGAGAGTAGAGGGACTATGGGAGCTGGTGAGAGAGTAGAGGGAGTATGGGAGCTGGTGAGAGAGTAGAGGGACTATGGGAGGGTAGAGGGACTATGGGAGCTGGTGAGAGAGTAGAGGGACTATGGGAGCTGGTGAGAGAGTAGAGGGACTATGGGAGAGTAGAGGGACTATGGGAGCTGGTGAGAGAGTAGAGGGACTATGGGAGAGTAGAGGGACTATGGGAGAGTAGGGGGACTATGGGAGAGTAGAGGGACTATGGGAGAGTAGAGGGACTATCGAGAGTAGAGGGACTATGGGAGCTGGTGAGAGAGTAGAGGGACTATCGGAGAGTAGAGGGACTATGGGAGAGTAGAGGGACTATGGGAGAGTAGAGGGACTATGGGAGAGTAGAGGGACTATGGGAGAGTAGGGGGACTATGGGAGAGTAGAGGGACTATGGGAGAGTAGAGGGACTATCGAGAGTAGAGGGACTATGGGAGCTGGTGAGAGAGTAGAGGGGCTATCGGAGAGTAGAGGGACTATGGGAGAGTAGAGGGACTATGGGAGAGTAGAGGGACTATGGGAGAGTAGAGGGACTATCGAGAGTAGAGGGACTATGGGAGCTGGTGAGAGAGTAGAGGGACTATGGGAGAGTAGAGGGACTATGGGAGAGTAGGGGGACTATGGGAGAGTAGAGGGACTATGGGAGAGTAGGGGGACTATGGGAGAGTAGAGGGGACTATGGGAGAGTAGAGGGACTATGGGAGAGTAGAGGGACTATGGGAGCTGGTGAGAGAGTAGAGGGGCTATCGGAGAGTAGAGGGACTATGGGAGAGTAGAGGGACTATGGGAGCTGGTGAGAGAGTAGAGGGACTATGGGAGCTGGTGAGAGAGTAGAGGGACTATGGGAGCTGGTGAGAGAGTAGAGGGACTATGGGAGAGTAGAGGGACTATGGGAGAGTAGGGGGACTATGGGAGAGTAGAGGGACTATGGGAGAGTAGGGGGACTATGGGAGAGTAGAGGGACTATGGGAGAGTAGAGGGACTATGGGAGAGTAGAGGGACTATGGGAGCTGGTGAGAGAGTAGAGGGGCTATCGGAGAGTAGAGGGACTATGGGAGAGTAGAGGGACTATGGGAGAGTAGAGGGACTATGGGAGAGTAGAGGGACTATCGAGAGTAGAGGGACTATGGGAGCTGGTGAGAGAGTAGAGGGACTATGGGAGAGTAGAGGGACTATGGGAGAGTAGAGGGACTATGGGAGAGTAGAGGGACTATGGGAGAGTAGAGGGACTATCGAGAGTAGAGGGACTATGGGAGCTGGTGAGAGAGTAGAGGGGCTATCGGAGAGTAGAGGGACTATGGGAGAGTAGAGGGACTATGGGAGAGTAGAGGGACTATGGGAGAGTAGAGGGACTATCGAGAGTAGAGGGACTATGGGAGCTGGTGAGAGAGTAGAGGGACTATGGGAGAGTAGAGGGACTATGGGAGAGTAGAGGGACTATGGGAGAGTAGAGGGACTATGGGAGAGTAGAGGGACTATCGAGAGTAGAGGGACTATGGGAGCTGGTGAGAGAGTAGAGGGACTATGGGAGAGTAGAGGGACTATGGGAGAGTAGAGGGACTATGGGAGAGTAGAGGGACTATGGGAGAGTAGAGGGACTATCGAGAGTAGAGGGACTATGGGAGCTGGTGAGAGAGTAGAGGGGCTATCGGAGAGTAGAGGGACTATGGGAGAGTAGAGGGACTATGGGAGCTGGTGAGAGAGTAGAGGGGCTATCGGAGAGTAGAGGGACTATGGGAGAGTAGAGGGACTATGGGAGCTGGTGAGAGAGTAGAGGGACTATGGGAGAGTAGAGGGACTATGGGAGAGTAGAGGGACTATGGGAGAGTAGAGGGACTATGGGAGCTGGTGAGAGAGTAGAGGGGCTATCGGAGAGTAGAGGGACTATGGGAGAGTAGAGGGACTATGGGAGAGTAGAGGGACTATGGGAGAGTAGAGGGACTATCGAGAGTAGAGGGACTATGGGAGCTGGTGAGAGAGTAGAGGGACTATGGGAGAGTAGAGGGACTATGGGAGAGTAGGGGGACTATGGGAGAGTAGAGGGACTATGGGAGAGTAGGGGGACTATGGGAGAGTAGAGGGACTATGGGAGAGTAGAGGGACTATGGGAGAGTAGAGGGACTATGGGAGCTGGTGAGAGAGTAGAGGGGCTATCGGAGAGTAGAGGGACTATGGGAGAGTAGAGGGACTATGGGAGCTGGTGAGAGAGTAGAGGGACTATGGGAGCTGGTGAGAGAGTAGAGGGACTATGGGAGCTGGTGAGAGAGTAGAGGGACTATGGGAGAGTAGAGGGACTATGGGAGAGTAGGGGGACTATGGGAGAGTAGAGGGACTATGGGAGAGTAGGGGGACTATGGGAGAGTAGAGGGACTATGGGAGAGTAGAGGGACTATGGGAGAGTAGAGGGACTATGGGAGCTGGTGAGAGAGTAGAGGGGCTATCGGAGAGTAGAGGGACTATGGGAGAGTAGAGGGACTATGGGAGAGTAGAGGGACTATGGGAGAGTAGAGGGACTATCGAGAGTAGAGGGACTATGGGAGCTGGTGAGAGAGTAGAGGGACTATGGGAGAGTAGAGGGACTATGGGAGAGTAGAGGGACTATGGGAGAGTAGAGGGACTATCGAGAGTAGAGGGACTATGGGAGCTGGTGAGAGAGTAGAGGGGCTATCGGAGAGTAGAGGGACTATGGGAGAGTAGAGGGACTATGGGAGCTGGTGAGAGAGTAGAGGGGCTATCGGAGAGTAGAGGGACTATGGGAGAGTAGAGGGACTATGGGAGCTGGTGAGAGAGTAGAGGGACTATGGGAGAGTAGAGGGACTATGGGAGAGTAGAGGGACTATGGGAGAGTAGAGGGACTATGGGAGAGTAGAGGGACTATGGGAGAGTAGAGGGACTATGGGAGCTGGTGAGAGAGGTAGAGGGGCTATCGGAGAGTAGAGGGACTATGGGAGAGTAGAGGGACTATGGGAGCTGGTGAGAGAGTAGAGGGACTATGGGAGAGTAGAGGGACTATGGGAGCTGGTGAGAGAGTAGAGGGACTATGGGAGAGTAGAGGGACTATGGGAGCTGGTGAGAGAGTAGAGGGGCTATCGGAGAGTAGAGGGACTATGGGAGAGTAGAGGGACTATGGGAGCTGGTGAGAGAGTAGAGGGACTATGGGAGAGTAGAGGGACTATGGGAGAGTAGAGGGACTATGGGAGCTGGTGAGAGAGTAGAGGGACTATCGGAGAGTAGAGGGACTATGGGAGAGTAGAGGGACTATGGGAGCTGGTGAGAGAGTAGAGGGGCTATCGGAGAGTAGAGGGACTATGGGAGAGTAGAGGGACTATGGGAGCTGGTGAGAGAGTAGAGGGGCTATCGGAGAGTAGAGGGACTATGGGAGAGTAGAGGGACTATGGGAGCTGGTGAGAGAGTAGAGGGACTATGGGAGAGTAGAGGGACTATGGGAGCTGGTGAGAGTAGAGGGGCTATCGGAGAGTAGAGGGACTATGGGAGAGAGAGGGACTATGGGAGCTGGTGAGAGAGTAGAGGGACTATGGGAGAGTAGAGGGACTATGGGAGAGTAGAGGGACTATGGGAGCTGGTGAGAGAGTAGAGGGGCTATCGGAGAGTAGAGGGACTATGGGAGAGTAGAGGACTATGGGAGCTGGTGAGAGAGTAGAGGGACTATGGGAGAGTAGAGGGACTATGGGAGAGTAGAGGGACTATGGGAGAGTAGAGGGACTATGGGAGAGTAGAGGGACTATGGGAGAGTAGAGGGACTATCGAGAGTAGAGGGACTATGGGAGCTGGTGAGAGAGTAGAGGGACTATTGGAGAGTAGAGGGACTATGGGAGAGTAGAGGGACTATGGGAGAGTAGAGGGACTATCGAGAGTAGAGGGACTATGGGAGCTGGTGAGAGAGTAGAGGGACTATGGGAGAGTAGAGGGACTATGGGAGAGTAGAGGGACTATGGGAGAGTAGAGGGACTATCGAGAGTAGAGGGACTATGGGAGCTGGTGAGAGAGTAGAGGGGCTATCGGAGAGTAGAGGGACTATGGGAGAGTAGAGGGACTATGGGAGCTGGTGAGAGAGTAGAGGGGCTATCGGAGAGTAGAGGGACTATGGGAGAGTAGAGGGACTATGGGAGCTGGTGAGAGAGTAGAGGGACTATGGGAGAGTAGAGGGACTATGGGAGAGGAGAGGGGACTAGGGAGAGTAGAGGGACTATGGGAGAGTAGAGGGACTATGGGAGAGTAGAGGGACTATGGGAGAGTAGTCCCTCTACTCTCGCACCAGCTCATGAAATTTCTGGTAGAAAGGAAACCGGCTGGGGGGTTTATTTCAGATCAGTCGAATCGGCCGCGATGAGCGCCAACCATCACTGCGATTATCTGATGTGCCTGGTGAAGGTGATCAAGACCTACCTCGAGCAGCCGCGCAATCCGGTCAACACGCTGAAGGACAAGCCCGTCAAGCAGGGCGTCAGCACGCCCGTCAAGCGCGGCAAGGGCAACGACGGCAAGGAGAAGGAGGAGGAGGAGAAGAAGGAAGGAGACAACGAGATGCTCTACCCGGGGCATGGCTTCGGCCACCCCGTCGACTACAAGAAGGGCAACGACGCCCAGGGCGAAAAGAAGGAGAGTGTGAAGGAGAAGGATGACGAGGGCCACTATGAGCTCCTATACCCGTATTGATATCCACGAAGGCCTCAGCTGGAACGGCGGACCATGCTGCTTAACAATTTTGCTTGATTTTTTTCGTGATACATATGTGTTTTGAGGCTTGAGGCTTGAGTTTTTCTGAATAAAGGAAGCAAAAAATCTTCGGTATCAAAAATCGAAAAGACTTGAGGAATTCAGTTGAAGTTTCCGGTGTTTGAGACGGATGTTCTGCTTGTTGGTATGCTCGAAGCGTTGATGGCGATGTTGAAGTTCCTTGAAATTCACCTTGGCTATTGGCAAAAAATAGCGATTGGAGCTACGAGGCGCTCCGTTTAAGTTACTTGCTTTTGCTAGTTTACCATGCTTAGCTTAGGCGTAAACCTATTCTTAAGCCCAACTTGGGCTTATCTTCGCTCTATTTTACCCTGAAAGCTCAAAAAAAGGTCACAGAGGGCCTGGCTTACACAAGAGCTTAACTTGGCGTAAGTTAAGCTTACACTTGGCTTGAATGACATTAAGCTGAGGGCTAGACGTAACTGAGCTTTTATACACTTGGGGGGGGGGTTAGAAAGCGTAGTTTAGAGCGTAGCCAAAAGTCCGCGTCACCTTCTCAAAAATTACAAATTACACTTGATTACTTTATCATAAAGGCACGCAATACCGTCGAATCCGGAATGTTTTTTGAACATGTTTGTGTGCGGCAAAGTTGAAGTGAAGCGAGGGGAGGCCGTCTCAGCCGAGCTTGTTGAGGAACATTCCGGCCACCTGAAAATTGTTAGTTCTTTCTCGCATTTAGGAGGCCTAGCGGAAATCGTTTATTCAACGTCTCAAAAAAATATTGTACCAGTGAATTCGGGGTAGGGGAAGGCCGCAAGTGGGTGAGTAAAACGCTTGGGGGAATGTTTGTCATTTTCGTGCTAGACTAATTTTATCACAAAGTGCGGGAACTGCTGATATGGGGGGCGATAGATTTTACCTTTTGGGCTTTAACAAATCGCTTCTTTAGCTAAAAGGGCCGAAATGGTAATAAACTTTTGAAAACAAGCAAATTGTATTTTTGAGCGTGCTTTTAGCAAATAAAATTACTTTAAAAGCTAGACTAGATTGAATTTGCTCAAAAAATTCCAAAGTTCCGTCAAAAGCAGAAGTATGGGCTTACTGACTAGCACGAAGAGGTTCTGGGGGAGCTGGGGAGCACTGGCCTACATCTACATCTTCAAAGCAAACACCATTGTCAAGAATTCCTCATATTGAATCGTGATGACGCCGTCGCGGTCGGTGTCCTTGTCGCGGAACGAGGCGGTGAGCGTCTGAAATCGTCACTTTTTGACAGAAATCAATATAGTTATGTTTTTATGACGTAGCCATGACGAGAATCATCGAAAAATCGCGAATTTTTAGTCAATTTCCAAAAACAAACCTGCAAGACGACGCACAACTGGATGAAATCGTCAAAGTTGATGCGGCCCTGGTGCGTCCGGTCGAACTTCATCATCAGGATGTTGTAGAAGCGCTCGGAGAGGCGGTACCCTAAATTTGAAGCACTTGAAACTCCATTTCCGAGGCCACAACGAGCGAAAAACTCACCGAATTGCGTGAGAGCATTCTGCAGCTCTTGCTTGTCGATGTTGCCCGAGTTGTCGCGGTCGAACCCGCGAAAACAATTCGTCCAATCGTTGATGTAGTTCCAGAGGGCCTAAAGCAATTTTTGGGCTTGAAATTAAATGTGCTACCTGAAATTCGGGGAAATTGATGGCTCCGTCGCCGTTTGAGTCGAACATTCCTGAAAAGAACAAAGCTTGAAAGGCCCCGCGCAACTGCAATAGCCCCAAAATCTAAGATATTTCCACCCACCAATCATCAGCCGGCACGTTTCCGGGTTGAACGGGTTCCAGGTTCCGTTGCTGAGGGCTCGCTGCAGCTCATCGGAAGAAATTTGGCCCGACCGGTCGGCGTCGACCTGAAAATACGTCAGATTATGCTAAAACTCAAAAACCGGTGATGGTTCGTTAGCGGAGGGTCTAATGTCGTAGATTTTTCAATATTTCTTGATTTTTTGGGGGCTACATCATCGATGCCCGCTAGAGCATCAAAAAATATAGTAAGAATCTTAGTTCTAGAAAAAATACCCCCGCTAACGAACCAGAACCCAAAAGCCTTACTTACCGATGCAAAAATTTGTTGCAAATTCGGCGGCGCGTTGTAGGTCATCGGGGGCCTGGAAGCAGAAGGGTTAGATTTGGCAGTGCGACACGACATTTCGAGAGAATTTTTAGCCGCCGCGAAACTTGAGCCACCTTATATAAGTTTGCGCAGGCAGAGGGGCTGGGGTGAAGATGGGGAAAAGGGGAAAAATAGTTGGGATTGAGGAGAGATCTCGCAGAGAAAGGGGGGCCCAACTTGTTTAGGGTGTGGAGGGCCCGGGATGAGTCATCGGGGTCTGATTGGGCCGCTGACGTTGGAAAAGAGCGTCAGCGTAGGGGGAAAGGCTTTGCGAAATAGTGCAAAAATACTCCAGGGAATTTGCAGTGAAACTAAGCATACGGAAAGAGAGAGAGAGAGAGAGAGAGAGAGAGAGAGCGAGATAGAGGGAGAGAGAGAGAAACAAAAAGGAAATCTTGCTGTTTGATTCTTGCCAAAATGCCGAATTTGGCAGCGGGAAAGTCCATAAAGCCGCCAGGGTTCTTTGGCATTATCGGGGGGGGGGGCAACTTTCTTTAAAGGGGCTCGAAACGTCAGGCCCCTGCTGTGATCGCAAATAGCCAGATGCGACCAACGCGACCGCGGCCTTTGCCTCTGTTTGGACCAAACGCTTGAATAAAACTGTACTATTTTGAATCCCAACGAATTTTGCATTCCAGACTTTTAAATTTGAAAATTGACCAGAGATCACTGAGATCGAGGTTGGGTGCCTTACAAGGCATTACGACATGATAACGCCGCCCACTCAAAATGTCGTTTTTGCCCCAAAATTAATTCGGTTTTTCTCAAACATTTCGTTTTTCGCAACAATCTTTGGCACTTCTCGGCGGTGACCCTTGCTTTTGCCCGTAGTTTCATCCCACGCAGATTTTGCTTGGCCCTTTAGGATCCCATTTTTCCAATAAAAATAAAGGAAGTGTTTCTAAATAGTTTTTTAACATTCCTAAACGTAATCCCTTTACAAATTTGATTCAATAAACCAAAATTTCGTCGCTTAAAAAAATTATATCTTTTTGCTTGTTTTCGGCTCAAGATATGGTTAAATTTTGCGAAAAATACCATTAAAATCTTTCCCATAGCATTACTTGCCGTTTCTAAAAAGTTGCCCCCCCCCCCGATAATGCGAAAGATCCGTCCCAGAATTCATGATTTTTATTTTTCACGCGAGAATTAGCTTAAAAAAAATAATTAGTAAAACAGGCTGGGAGATCTCCGTTTTTAAGCCTATCCCAAGCCCCAAGCCCACAATTTCATCACGCGTACCGAATCTGCCCATTTGGCCACGTATCCCGCTCCTACCTCCCGAAATTCTGCTGATGATGGTACATAATTTAGTGTAGAAATAATACGATCAGATACGAGAATCAATAGGCCGGCGCAAATGACTGGACCTTATCTGGGTGGCGGGGGAGGCGGCCCGTTTTTTATGCTTGCCGCCCGGGCGGCTGACTCACGACAAACATGTGCAATTCGAGAGCACGCGCCGAGAGATGTGGAATTGTTGGTGGCGGCAGAGAAGCCAGGCTTTCATGTTGCCATGTTTTTCGGGGTGGGTTTTCGGGATAGGGTTACTGCGCCGTAAAGGTTTTCGTATTTTGGGCGGAAAAACCTCAATTTTCGACCTAAAATTCAATTTGTAATAAAATTGTAAAGTTTTTAAGCTTAGGAATAGTCAAAAATAACGTAGAAAACATCCCCTTTTATCGAAAAATTTAGGCTTGGGGCGAAAAAAATGGGTCCCCGCCAAACCCTAAAGAACCGTAGTGTCCCTAAACGGTTTTTCACTACTCCTAAATGCAAAAAGTTACAAAGTTGTAAAAAAAACTCAAAAATATCCATTTTTCCACCAAAAATGATCGATTTTTTTACCAACATTTCGGCTTTATTAGAACTTTTTAACCTAGTTTTAAAGCAATTTGCACAAAAGCTTTTTTGCAACTGGGAAGATCCGACGAATCCGAATCTGCGTTATAAAATTTCAGATGGCGATGATGGGTTTGATAGGACCGGGCAATCAAAGTTCAATCGTCCAAACGGCCCTCCATAGATGCATCTTGCAAGCGATGCCGGGTCAACGCGATCGATTAGACGGCACAGTCCACTCGGCTATGTGACCACCACTTGTTGTTGAGCCCAACAAGTTTAGTACGGCACTTTACCGCTGACCCCGATTAGGGCGCCCTTTTGATCGCGTAACCGAAAGGTTATGGCTGCTGCTGCGGCCGAAAACGCTGTCCAGTTTCCGCTTCAAATGGCTAAAATACGGCTATAAACAACCTCATAGGGTCTGATTTCTCTAAAATTTAGCTTGGTCGTTATTTGCAGCAGTCCGTATTAAAAAAATCACTCCAGTGTAAGCGGCGTTATTTAGCGCAAAAGCGCTAATACAGATTTTTAACCACAAATATTTTTATATTTTTCATTTTTAATTTTTTGATTCAATAATTATCATGTGATCTAGTCCCAAGCCGGAGAAAGTGAAATTTCGAAACCAAAAATTTTTAGTACCTACGGAAGTTCGCACGGAACGCCTGCCGGAACCACGCGGTTTTTTTGCTTGCTGCTAATCAAATTGTTAAATTTATGAATTTAGCCGTTTTATAATTCTACAGAAAAATTGATTTAGTATATTTAATTCTATATTTGGTATCAATTGATGTTAACGCGCCTCCAGGCTCCCAAGCGTTCCTGGGCCTGTCCGAGCTCTCGAGAATAACCTTCTCCGCTCTTATTTACATTTCATACACTGTCCCTGGTCGATTTTTTGGCTGTTCATCTCCATCTTGCCCTTTTATCAGCCCGCGGCATCTCAGCACGGCTGGAGCTTCATCTTTCGCGGCGTCTCACTCCATAGTTCCCAAAAAATCTACGATTTTCAATTTACTTGCTATTCTATTTTCTCTTAAATCTACGCTCTGCCAATTGCCGATATAATCCAAAATGTTCTAGCCATGACGTGCCCGGAGGAGAGCTACACCTCGGTGCTCGTCACGCGCTACTGCCGCTCGTCGCCGCTGCTCAAGACGTTCTCCGAGAAGAACAAGGTATTTTCTTTGCATATCGGTCTCAATATTTCTTTTTCAGACGATCCTCTGGCGCCAACTGTGGATTTGGCTGGCCGAGGCGGAGCTGGAGCTTGGGTTGAAGCAGGTGAGTGTTTTGGCGATTTTTTTATTCATCTCTTTTAGATCACCCAAGAAGCCGTCGACGAGCTGAAGGCCAACCGCGACAACATCGACTGGCCGCTGGTGCGCGCCGAAGAAAGGCGGCTGAAGCACGACGTGATGGCGCACAACCACACGTACGGAAAGGTAAATACAAATTTTGCGCTACGCAGATCTGAGAAATCGATGAACGGGTCGATATATATTTGGAAAATTGAGGCTTGATTGACTTTTCGCGTCCCGCCTGGAAGGGGTTTTCGTATTGGAATCGACTTGGAAATGTTTTAAAATTCGGCCGCAGGTCATAAAATACTTTTTGAGTCCTTTCAGGCGCTTTTTTCAATGTTGGCCACATTTTGAACATCTCTAAATCGATTCCGGCACAGCAAGCTACTTTTCCGGAGAGGACCATAAAAGCAAATCGTCCCAAGCTGGACATAGTATCGATATAACCAAAATCGAGGCAGTGAAAACCTGTGTAGTGTACAAAATACAATTGTGTGTGCGCAGACGTTTATCAGTTGAAAGTTTGACCGGGGTGATTAGGGGTTGTATTCGATCGGCAGGTTCTTGCGGCGCACCATGCCGTCGCCCTGGAACCATTCGCGGCGGAACTGCTTGGCGGCGCCGTCGGGGGTGTTGGTCCACTCGATGGTCACGCGGTCGTTGTTGGTGTCCTCAGCGCCGAACTGGAACGAATCGCACGAGACGGCGACCTGAAAGAGTGATGATTGGACAATCAACATCAAGATCCATCTCGAACCGTTCAAGCGAAAAACTCACCAGAACCTGCTCCTTGGGGTCGAGGACACCGCACGGCGGGTCGACGCCCAGGCGCTTCATGTTGGTGGTCTTGAAGGCCCATCCGATGCGGCGGCCGCCAGAGTTGATCACCTTGATGTGATACGTGTGCTTGTCGTCGTACGGGGCGTTGAAGACGATCTTCGTGCCGGGCTGGGTGGTGATGTCACCGGGAGCGACGGATTGGGCCATCTTCTTGGTTGAAGTTTGGGTGCCATTCCGCACCGGCGGGGTTCTTTTATACCTGAAAACCCATGCAAATCGATTGATGGTTGTGACCCAGTTCCGGATTTTTACTACTATTATTCAAATTCACATTTATAACCCAATTTTTCAGATTTGCCCGAAGGCCGCCGGCATCATCCACCTCGGCGCCACGTCGTGCTACGTCCAGGACAATGCCGACCTGATCTGCATCCGGGAGGCCGTCGACCACATTTTACGAAGGTGTTATTTTGATAATAATATTTTTAAATGGTTTTAGAGTCGCCATCGTGCTGCACCGGATCGGCGTGTTCGCCGACAAGCACAAGGACACGGTTACAGTTGGGCGCACCCACTACCAGGTCCGTTTTGGCGTTTTGTTGGAAAATGCAATTTTTTTAGACGGCGTCTCTGGTCACCGTGGGCAAAAGAGCGGTCATTTGGGCCCAAGAACTGGTGCTCGCCTTCAAGCAGGTGATTTCACCAAAATTACGATTTATTCCTTTTTAGATTGAGCATTTCCGCGAGACGATCAAATTCCGCGGGGTCAAGGGCGCCACGGGGACCCAGGATTCGTTTTTGACGCTGTTCCAGGGAGATGAGGATAAGGTACTCTCCATTTTCTCGAGTGAATTTTTGCCGTTTAGGTAGAGCAACTCGACGAGCTGGTCACGAAGAAAGCCGGCTTCTCCCAGCGATTCTTCATCACCGGCCAGACGTATTCTCGACAGCAGGTGCGTTTGATTTTTTAAATGTTTTGGTTTGCGTACATTCATGGCTCGTAAAAATAAAAAAATCTCGTTTCCCGACTTTAAAATAATTTTTAGACCTTTACGTACCAGGAATTAGCAAATCGCCCGGGGGGTAGAGAAATATTGCATTTTGGAAAAAATGGTGCTTAGGAAAAAGAGATTTAATTAATTTTGTGCAGCCATTTTTGTGTATTTTCAAGTAAATCCATTTTTCCAGGACGCCCATCTCAGCTTTGGGCTGGCCGCCCTAGGCGCTGCGATAAAGAAGATCTCGACGGACATTCGAATCCTGCAGGCCTTCGACGAGCTGCTCGAGCCGTTCGAGAAGGACCAAATTGGCTCGTCGGCGATGCCCTACAAGAAGAACCCGATGAAGGACGAGAGGTGCTGCTCCATCGTCCGCGCCCTTCAGCAGTTGCCCGCGGTACGATCTTACGAGTAATCCATTTTATTCTTCAATTTAGGAAGCGCTGTCGATCCTGTCGGACCAAGGGCTCGAGCGCACGCTGGACGACTCCGCCGGCCGCCGTCGCTGGATCCCCGAAGGATTTCTGCTCGCCGACGCGGCTCTCGATGTTTTGCAAGTGAGCTTTTCTCTGAACTAGCGAAATACAGACTTTTCGGGCATTTCCCGTTGTTTTCACATTAGCGTGTAGCGTTAGGTTTCAAATATATAAGAAAATGGATTATTCGGGCAAAACCTTAATTTTTCTGGTTTTTTAGAAAATTTTGCGTTTTAGAACATCTTCGAGGGTCTGACCGTCCAGCGCGAGAACGTGGACGACCTCGTCGCCCGGGAATTGCCATTCCTCGGCCTCGAGAAGGCGATGATGTACCTGACAGAAGAAGGCGTAGACCGGCAACAGGTAAAAGTTTTTCGAGAACTTTTGAAATTTTTTGTTCAGGCTCATTCCGTCATTCGTGAGACGGCACTGGCCGCCAAGCAGCGCCAAAAGAAGCATTCGGTCGACATGGCCGAGATGCTGCACGACCCCTTCTTTGATAAGGTAACCTAGCAATTCTAAATTATTAACTTTTTCTTAGGTACGCGACCGGGTGCTGGCCCTCGTCTCCAAGCCGCTGTCGTTCACCGGGCGCTGCGTCACCCAGACGGTCCGTTTCTGCAATTTATGCAGTTTATCCCCGTTTAGACACGCTTCATCAAGGAGGAAATCGACCCGATCGTCTCCAAGTATGTGAGGGAGGAAGATCTGAAGAAAGTAGAGCTTGCCGTCTAATGTTTTCCCTTTCGATTTTTTGTTTTTTTTTTGCGATATTTGTAATTTCTTACGGTTACTGATTTGCCACGATTTTCCAGATGTGACGAATAAAAGTATTGATTGTGAAAGATTGGTAGAAGCATTTGGACGAAATTGGCCGAAGTACAGACACGGGCATGGCTTTTTTGTAAGGGCAGAAGTTTACAGTTTCAATTTTACTAATCTTGGCGCTCGTTACGAAATTGGCTTTCAACGAAAGAACAATAAATACGTTTGAAAACGTATTCAAATCCTTTGTTAGTGGCTTGGCAGGCCAAACCTCGGCAGCGTCTTCATGCCATTCGGGCCGCGCGGGCAGTGCCTCTACACGTCGTGCTACTGCGAAGAAAATATTCTCAAGGTTCGCGATAAACCATTTCAAAAAAACAAACTTTTAGCTTTGCGCCCGAATACCTGCAGATCGGCACGATGCCTTCTTCGTCGTTTTCCTATCAAATGTGGAAAGGGCGTTTCCGATATTCGAACAGGTAAACAATAAAGTTCTTCATGACTTCATTGTTCTTTAGAAAGCTTGCCGAGAAGATCGTGACTACGTGATTTGGGACTACCACGTGATTCTCGTTGAGAAGGCCGACAGCGTGTCCAAGGTCCGAAAGAAGCTGACAATATTTTGTGTTTTTTTAGGTCTACGATCTCGACACAAGGCTCGATTTCCCGTGCCCATTTACCGAATATTGCGAAGAATCATTCCCCAGCGAGGTTTGCGATCTTTAATTCCTTGGATATGTCGAATTTAGTGGAAATTCCCGCCGGAATGCGCCCGAAAGTTCCGCATCCTCCCGGTGGCTGTCTACTTGGAGCACTTTTCCAGCGATCGGTAAGTTTTCAGCTTGCGAGTTACTAAAAGCTTTGTTCTTTTTCAGGCGGCACATGCGCAAAGCAGACAACACGTGGAACTCGCCGCCGCCGAGCTGGGAGCCCAACTTCCGCGTTGAGCTTGGTGAGCTTTGATTTGGAAATGCAATATTTGTTCCTAGGCCACAACCTCGACGAGTTCATCAGAATGGACGCCGACTCTGCGGTATCACACGTCTCGACGGTGCTCGACGAAGAAGCTTTTTACGGGTATTTTTTATGAAATAGTTTCCCCTTCTACCGTCGATAAATTTTTGATTTCTATCCGAAATTCCACTGACTTTTCAAATCCGATTTATTCGCGCATACACGTCGTGATTAAAAATTGCAACAAAGAAATGGGGAGAGATCGGTAAATGAATCGGGGGGAAAATGGTCATCGGGTTCAGGGTATGCATGGAATGACAATCGAAAGAAATGGATAAAAATCACTCAAATGACTTGAAAAACCTATTTGGTCTCCTTCTTGATGGCGGGGCCGCGCTTCTTGGCCGGTTGATTCTTCTTGTCCAGCTCGGCCTTGCGCTTCAGCGTAGTCGTCTCGCTCACAACTAAACAAATTTTAGAATTTTAAAAGATAGGACACAAACCGGTCGTTTTCTTCACAAAAAACGAGTCGATGCGGCCCTGGGTCCCCGCCTCGCGGCCCTTCTTCATCTTGGCGAGCGACGAACGGATCCGATCCTCACTAGAAATTTCATGAATAAACTTAAGGTCGCTAAAACCTACTTGAAATTCTTCTCGCCGCACATGTACGCGACGACGCCCTCAACATCCGGGTCTTTCCAGACAAGCTGAAGGAAATAAGGGGTGGGCAATAAAAGGCAACGCATACCTCAACGGTGGCCGGATCGGCAACTTCCGGGTTCAGGAAAAGCTCCCGAGCACGCGCGTAATTCCAGTCTTCGGGCACCGCATATTTCTAAAAAAAAAACGGTATAGTCATTGTTGAAGCGTACCTTCGTGTCGATATTCTCCAGGACGCTGTCGATGGACTTGTACTGCCGGATCAGTTCGATAGCGCGCTTGGGGCCGATTCCGCTAAAATCACGTATATATCGATTCGCCATAGCAAAACCGAATCGTCGGGCAATAGTCACAGCCGAGCATGATGCACAGGTCGACAAACTCCTCGCGCGACAGGTTCAGCCCCTTCATCGCGGCCTCCAGGTTGAATTGCTGCAGATAGAAGAGCTTTTCAAGGCAAAAACTAGAATTCACCTTGATCGGCATCTTCTTCGCCTCCGAGAACGTCATGTGGCGGAGCAGCACGCTGGCGCCGAACGTCAGCGCGTCCATGTCTTCCGTGGCGGCGCCGTAGACCTGGAGGAGTTCAGAGAGTTCCTGGATGAAGGGATACCTTTCCGGCCTTGGCCAGGGCGGCGCATTGAGCTTCGGCCTCGCACGGGGCCTCGACCACCGGGACGCCCATGAGTCGCAGCAGGCGCTTCACCTCCTCGTTTTGGTCTTTGGTCACCTGAAAAACGGTAAAATTACGGGGGCGGTGATCCTAATTTTTCGCTCAGATACAATTTTTCTAGATAGAGGAAATGTTTTTGTGGATTTTGAACTACCTTTTCCTACTCCTGAGCGTAAAAACTTTACAGAAAATCCACTACAAAAAATACAAAAATCGATTCTGCCCTGAAAAGGACTCCCTTTTCGATAAAAAAATTGAAATTTTATGCAGAAAACCTTGGAAATAGCTTGTCAACTTCAAATACTTTCCTCTAAGACTAAGTTCAACCTTTAAAAGCATATCTCCACAATTCCCAAACATACTCTGACAAGACGACGCTCAAATTTGTCGGCCGCCTCGGCATCTCCCTTCTCTTTGGCTTCGGCGAGCAGCTTCTCGGCTTCATCCCTGGAAAGCAGACTTTCCAAAAAAAACATAGGAAACGCACCTCCGCTCCTTGCGCTTCTCCAACTCGCCACTCTTGAGATCCGGCGGCTTGCCGTCGAACACGTAGACGGGCTTGATGCCGTTGTCGATCATCCGGATCGTGCGGTAGAACATGCCCATCAGGTGACTATAAAAGTAGAATTTGAATCGGCAAGTCCTTCGCATAATTTGTTATCAAAAAGGGAAAGTGTAATTTTTCGGCTCCAAAATGTGGCAGCTACTGGCCGGAATCCTGGTGCTGAACGTGGCGCCCCTGCTCGCGACACCCCAGCAAGGCGCGGCGCCCAACCCGGATGGCGCACAGCAGGATATTGGCAAAGAGGAGGTGATTTCAAGGTGGAAAAGTTCTATCTCCTCTCGTTTCAGTCAGTCAACCTCAAAATCGCGATCCCGAACCCGAACGAGCTCGAGGTGCTGAACCTGCAGCTGATGGAGCCGTTGCTGTACAAGGCGGTTGAGGTATACCCGAAAACTGCGAAGCAAAATTCGGATCTGAGTAGAGAAAAGCAGAAAAAGTATGGCTTTCCGTTGCAGGGAATCTAGGTTTTACCCCGCTTTTCAGAAAGAAATCTTCCTCGCCGGCCTGGAGGAGCCGGGCGTCGCGAGCGCGTCGCCAGAGAGACTTCAGTGGGAGCTTGAGCAGAAAAAGGTAAAGTTTTTGCCTACAAGGATGCCTTTTGAGGTGATGGGTTGGGGGTTCGGCTGTTTTTGCTTATTCCGAATTTCGAGCGCATCGCAAACAACAATTTTTTTTGCCAGGTCGAGCAGGGGATGGCGGACGCGCTGGCCTCGGTGATGGACGAAATCCAGGCCAACGCAATTCTGGTGGGCAAATAGCCCTTTTTCGATTCTCAAAACCGAATTCTAGCAACCGGAAAATGTCGGCGCGCCCGCCCTGCCCGACCCAATCCGAGAGGCCGTACGACGACTGCCCCCTTTAGATTTGGATTGAATAAATGGCTTCGAGATCCCGGTCAAAACGCGGAGCCTAGAAGCGCAAAACACACCTCGTAACTTCGCCAGCCTCGTTCTGCATCTGGCTGCCGTCCTGCCGCACGGCGATCAGGAACTGGTAGAGGGCCATTGAGGCGTCGATGGCCACCTTTCGTCCGAAGTAGTTCTTCATCTCGTGCTCGGTGATGGCGTTCGGTGCATGCTCCTTGATAACCTGCAAAGATGGATAGAGTGATGTTCCGCGTTAGCCTCTGGCCTTTTAAAATCTAAATTTTAGCGTATACCAGCAGCCGAGATTTTGACTTCCCTATCTCAATATACTACTTGTTGCCATTTTTTACTCAACTCTAATTTATTATTACTCTAAAGCACAACGCCAACATTTTCGTATAGATTACAGCCCCCAAGCTCCTAAGAGCGTCCAGATAAAAATTGGGGTCCGTTGAGCGAGGAAAAACAGGCTTGCATGTGCACCGTTCTACCCCAGAAAATGGGCATAATTTCGTTCTAGGTTAGCCTCCTGCTTTTCTAAGCGCCAGAGTGGGCTAGTTTTAACGAATAGCGTGGTTTCAACGCATTGTCTATTCGAGGAAACGTTAGGCAAATAATATCTCCAACTTTTTAGCTTTTTTCGAAACCAAATCCGCACCTTGGACAGATCCTTAATTCCCATGGCGGCTGACGTCGAGAGTCGACGAACGAGTTGGTGCAGCGAATTCGTCCTTCTATAAACACAATAATATGTAGATCTACCGCACTTCAGGCAACTCCAAGCAAAATCCAGCCAATGTCAACAAAACATGGCCAACCAGACGCGCGCTTTCGAACACGCCCCAGTGCGGGAAATCTAGCCGGGCAAGAAAAGGGCGGGTGGGGGCCTTCGGTATACTGGCGTGTGGCTGACATGTGTGGACCTGTGAGCGCAGCAGCAAAAGTTATCTTTATTCGAACAGCCGACAATGACAACAATAACAACAACGAGACCCGTTTCGGGGGAAAGTTGGAAGACAAAAATAACATGGAATTTTCAAAACCTAAGCAATCAATCGAGTAGCGGGGGTCACACGTCGCCGTCGACGTCCAAATCATCGTCAGAGCCGCCGCCGTAACCCTCGCCATTGTCGAAATAACTGAAAATGGGAAATTAAAGGGAATAAGGAAAGAAAAACGGGCGCTAATTAGCTTGGAGGGCGGCCCGGGGTGAGAAGCGGTTAGAAGACACCCCGTTTCAGCCATTCGTTTTAGGTTTTTCGACACTCCAGACTTTTAGAGTTTAAAACACGAACGTTATGGCGAAAAAACTACCATTACAGCGAGAAAAACGTACTCTTGCGCGTAGTCGTTATCCTCCTCGAGATCGTCTTCAGACACCGGCTCGTCGCCTTCTTTCTCTTGGCCCTCCTCGTCTTCCACGTCGGACGTGTCTTCCTGAAAAGGAGAAGTTTTTGTCCAGAGCGTCGTCTCTACCGCTTCAACCGCCTTCTCCTCGTCCTCGCCGACTTCGCGCAGGCCGGCCAGCTTCGCGTTGACGAGTTCGGAGACGGCGTCCTCCACCCAAAAATTAAAATGGTTAGCAGTGAGCGTCAGATAGCTTACCTTTCTTCGCTTTGCCGTTGACCTCTCAGCACCCTTCTTTTGCCAGCAGAGTTCCTCGGGCAGTCGGGACCAGACTGAAGTCAGAAGTTTTACAACAAAATCCGAATACCGGGCTCCAATTTCGGTCTCCCATGTTGTCGGTACGTGTCCGTGTAGCGCTTGATGTCCACATCGTCAACGGCTTCCTCGAGGTAGAAGGGGCTTTGTCGAAACCTGGAAAAAGAGATAGTTTTGGCTCCAAGGTCGTACCGGTCTATGATCACCCTCTTGGAGGCGACGATGTAGTCACGGCGATCAGATTCGGGTAGCGCCGGCACGCTGTGGGATAATGGCTAAAAACGGGGAACTTTCGGAACGAATAGAAAATGTACCGGGAACAGGGGTGGGGGCTCGGTTCTGGCCGGCTGGCAGTAGTTGCGCATGTCGTAGCGGGCGATGCCGAGCGCCGAGGCCACCTTGCTGACCATTGACGTCGAGCCGCCGCCTCGCCCTCGTCCGCCGCTCATTGTACCCGCTGAAATCGGCGAATAATTGCACAGATCGAAAGCGCAAAAACGTGGCGACGATTCTCGTTGCTTCTCTAATATAGTATTTCCTCTCATATAGGCACAACTTTCGATTTTTTAGCTACCGCGGCGAGGGCCTTACAAGATTTTCAGTAGATCACAATCTCAACTTTTCGATGGAATTCGAAGAAAAAAATTAGGCTATTTCGGTAACTTCGAACGGTTTTTGAACTTTAAACGGCTTGAAAAGACTCAGAATGCCGTAGCAAGCCATAAAAACTCGTCTTCGCTCTTTTCCCGGATGCCATGCTCTTTAAAGTATTGAAAGGCTCCTCAACAGCTGATCGCTCGTGCTGTAGTGGCTTGAAAATATAACCTATTTATTTCAAACGATTTGTCAAAACCTCGTAACAACTGCCAAAATCGCGCGTGGCTTCGACTATACAAGAACGACACGGGCATTACAGCTAGTTCAGGGCCTACAACTAGAACAAACAAACGACAAACGAACAGAAAACAGCAAAAACGAGTGGTGGTGGGCAGAGAGACCAAGAAAAACGACACCACCAAGCTAGGGCTGGAATTGAAAGATCACGCGTAGCCGGTATAGAAAACGGTAAGGGGAAGAGAAAGACGAAAGCTACGGAAGGAACTAGAATTAACGGAATAGATCATGGGGGCAGGGCGGGCAGTGCGAGTATTGCTGAAAAGCGAAGCATGACCATTTTCAACTTTTCAACGATACAGGGCACCACCTGCCGCAAATGAGAACAAGTCAAGGGGGAGCAACAAAGAATTGAGCCAGCACAAAAATATGGAGGAGGAGATACCCGAGATGAGCGGTGTGAGAATGGGGGTTGACTTCTTTGGTGTGCGCGGGTTTTCATGATGCCGGCGCGGTCTCCTTTGGCTGCTTCTCCTCGTTCCAATTCTTCAGCCCCTTCGGTAGTTGCGTGTCCTCGTCCATGCCGCCAGTGCCTAAAAGAAGACGAACATTAACGGATTCCTTCGCATTATCGGGGGGCAGGGCTTTTTTCTGATGCTCCAATTTTTCTAATATAATAGCGATAGCGTGGGATAATCCCCCCCTGTTAATGCGAAAGAGCCCATCAACGGGAACGATTTGCGAGGGATTTCTTGCCAAAACGAACCTTCCACCATCTCCTCGTAGGTGTGCTTCTCGCCGAACGGCCGTTTGCCGACCATCTCGACCATGTCGTCGCGCGAGAGCACCTCCTTCTCCAGCAAGCGCAGCGCCACCTGTGAAAATTACGTAAACTGGCAAACGACAGGTATCCGCGGGAATCCGAATAAAATGCACACCTTCTCGACGTCGTCCCGTTTGCTGACGAGCAGCTCACGCGTCCTAGTCAGGGCGCCCATCACCAGGTCCCGGACCTGAAATCAAAATTTTATAACGCCGAAATTTCAATCTGGTGATCTTTACCAGGAACAAATCTCCACGGAAATGCTTGAAAAAAACCCCAAAATTTTGACAAACAGGAATTTGGACATCATGAATTTTCACATTTTGAAAATAAGGCGAACCACCACAGATTTTCGGCTACTAAAAAAACGCTCAAATCCCACCTCTTGATCGATCAATTGAGCGGTCGCTTCGGAATACGGCTTGTCGAAGGCCATCTCGCCGGGCTGCGGCGTGTCGAAGGAGAGCGGACCCACCTTTGCCGACATGCCGTACTTGACAACCTGAAAAAAGACAGTAGACTTAGAAAAATTTCGTCTTTGGTATTTTTACAAACGGGTACATTTATCCCAGTTCTCGAATTCCGTCTAGGAGTCTAAACCAAAAAAGGTTGGGAGCTGAATCAGCAACGTGGCGACTTTTGCCATTGTCTAGTGCGCCGGGGTTTCGGCGGCTTTTTGTCCGCCTGTCACCATTTCCGAGCCCCCGAACACTATACGACAGAGTTCCGGAATTCCCGGATCGACTATAAATGCACCGCATCGAAGGTGGTGGCACACGATCGCCCAATCATGTTCAAGCAGCTCGGATACGCCGCGGTGCTTCTGGTGCTTGGTAAGTGGTTTATTGCAAAGTATAAACAGTAGTATAAACCTACTTATAGGATATTTTAATAGCATTTTACGAGCTCCTTAGATATAAACATTTTTCAAGAATCCTAGCAGTTTCGAAAATCTGAATTTTTTAAAATATTATTTAGCGGGCTCTTTATAAGAAAAAACAATGAAAAACCTAGACTTGTTTTTAAAATGTAAGAAAAATTATAAAATTCCAAATTTTGAAAAAAGTTTTTAATTTTTGAATAGAAAATCCTAAAATAAAATTAATAGGGGAATTCAATAAAGAAAGTTAGGTAACGGACCAGCACCGATCTCAGGCTCAGCTCGCCCCCACTACGCCAGCACGGCCGACAGCTACGCGCAAAGTCAGAGCTACTACCCGGTGCATGGGGCCGAGAATTGCCGGAAAACGACCGACTCTTCCGGTATCGTCACCCTGAACTGCCGAGTGAACGTCGAGCAGCCGCAACGTCAGCAGGAATCCTGCAGCTGCCAGCCTCAGGTAGAAGCATACGTGCCTTAAAACCCGAAAATTCAGCAGCAAGCCCCCTGCGCTTGTCAACAACAAGCCCCGGCCCCTCAGCAATGCGCAGCCCCGCCCTGCATCCCCACCGTCTCCGTCGACCACGTGACAACGACCCGAAACTTTGGCTTTGTGATCGGTGCGTCGCAACCGACGTACTACGCCTACCCGATCCCGGGCAGCGACAGTGGACATCAAAGCCAGCCCCAGGGATACGCGACAGCGCCCAGCCTGGGTAAACTATTTGGTGGGTGCTTGCAGAGAGCCTTGGGGAAGCCTCTGAGCATGTTTTCAAAATGTCGCAATCGGTTCTGGGCTGTTAATAGGCCAGGAAACCAATTTTATTAATTTGGGCACTATCAAACTTTTCCAGGCTTCAACTCCGGCTACGGCCAGCAGAGCGCCTCAAACGAATACGCGCAGCCGGCTGCCGCCGGAAACGTCTACGCGGCGGCGCCCCAGATCTCGGCGGGAGGCAGCTACGCTACGGCTCTACCGCAAATTTCTGGAGGGAGCTACGCCACTGTTCCTCAAGGCCCCTCGGCCGGCGGCAGCTATCAAGCGGCGAGCTACCAGGTCGCACCGGTGCAGCCGGCTTCATACGCCCAAGCCCAGCCGGTCATCTACGCCCAGGAGCATCCAACGTACGCCCAGGCGCAGCCGGCCATCTACGCGCATGAGCAACCATCCTACACCCAACCCCAACCTTCGTACGTCGCGGAGCGACGCACGTACGCTCAGCCGCAAGCCTCGTATGTACGCGAGGAACCAAAATACGCCCACGAGACCGCATCGTATGCCCACGAGCAGCCCGAGCAGTACAGCCACTCATCCCAGACGTACGCCGGCGTGGACGCGCCCGCGTCGAGCTACCCGCCAAGCCACGAGACCTACTCGAGCCCCAAGCAGGCCCCGGCCAACAACTACGCAAAGTCGACCCGGAAATATTGATTTGGGGGCCCTGTTTGGGTAATCTATATGCGCCGAATAAATTATGCTTAGACTGCCGCTAGAACTAGACAACAAAAACCGTGCAAAACCACACCTGTGAGTAGGCCATTTGCGTAACCTTCTGTAGATCATCCTGGGCGCCCGTCGTGATTCGGCCAAAGAAGATCTCTTCAGCCACCCGTCCGCCGAGCGTCATGCACATCCTAAAAAGTTTTGCGTCAAAAACAACTCGAATAAAGGTACCTGTCAAGCAGCTGCTGCGTCGAGTAGAGGTACTGCTCTTTGGGCAAGTATTGCGCGTAGCCGAGCCCTTTTCCGCGGGGGATAATGGATACCTAGAGAACGTCTATTTTGGCAAAGAAAATGGGTCTCACCTTCAACAACGGATCGGCGTACTGCAGAAACCAGCCGGCAATCGCGTGCCCGGCCTCGTGGTAGGCGACCGTCTTTTTTTCATCCGGTTGAAGAACCTGGCTCTTCTTTTCCATGCCGGCAACGACGCGTTCGATCGCCATCTCAAAGTTCTTCATCGTGATCTCGTCGTTGGCGTCACGGGCAGCAATTAGGGCGGCCTCGTTGCACACGTTGGAGATGTCGGCGCCTAAAAATGAATGGTGTTTGGATGATATTGCAGTTTCTCGGAGTGGCAGACGCAGCTCATTCGATCGAGCTTTAAATTCTATGCAAGTCCCGTCGCTCAAAAGGATTACAGGGTCAAGACGCCAGAGTTCAAGGGCAAAACCAACCAGAAAAGCCGGGAGTGTGCGCAGCAAGCTTCCTGCTCAACGCCATCTTGTCCAGCGAGGTCTTCAGCGGCGTCAAATGGACGCGGAAGATTGAAGCACGACCCTGAAAAGAATGTAACGTCGTCCAAGACTCGAACCTTGATGTCCGGCACGGGCACGTAGATTTGCCGATCGAAGCGCCCAGGGCGCAGCAGCGCCGAATCCAAGATGTCAACGCGATTCGTGGCCGCCATGACGATAACGTTGCTCTCGTCAGTCGAGAATCCTGCAAAAAAAGTTGCAATCGTGAGGCGTACGCCTACCGTCCATCTCAACGAGGAGTTGATTCAACGTGTTCTCCTGCTCACTGTGGCCGCCCATTCCACCCTTGCCGCCACTAAATCGAGCATGAGCTGGAAATTCCGACAAAAATTACCGTTTTCTTCCGACGGCGTCAATCTCGTCGATGAAAAGGATGCAGGGGGCGTTTTTACGCGCCATCGCAAACATGTCGCGCACACGGGCAGGACCCACCTGAAACGAAAAGTAAATGACGAATAGGAAGCGAAAAAAAACAGAAAATTTCGAATTTTGCAAAAAAATACAAAAAATTTAATTTTGCGAGAGACTCAGAAATACTCACCCCAACAAACATTTCCAAGAATTCCGAGCCAGAGACGGTGATGAAGGGCACATTGGCCTCGCCAGCGGTCGCCTTGGCGAGCAGCGTTTTTCCGGTGCCGGGCGGGCCGGTG